CCGAGGGAGATGAAATTGTCTGAGACAAAACGACGTCATCAGCATACTTTTGGATGTGCGTAGGAAGTGGGACCGAAACGTCACTAATAAAGGCAGAAAAAAGATAGAGCAGTACCTTGAAGAACACCGGAATTATTAACAAGAGGTTTCGATGCCTTCCTTCCTAATTTGGTGCTCTGGACCCTCTGTGTGAAATAGTTGGCAAGCCATGAGAGCAGTTATTTTGGAGTGCCAAACGATTCAAGTTTGAAAAGAATGAATGATCGGGAAACAGAATCAAACGCAGACGAATAGTCAAGAGAAACATAACGGACAGACTTGACCGAATTGTTCAATAACTTGCTGATGAAATGCATTAGAGTGGACACGGCATCCAATGTAGATCTGTATGGTTTGTATGCAAACTGAAAGGGGTCGTGAGGAATTGTGGTGTCTGACTGCAACCGACTCAGGATGGCTTTCAGTTAACTTTAGAGACACTGAATTCAGCGCGATAGGACGATACCGTTTCGCAAGAACAGTTGAGGACGTGGTTTTGCAATGAGTGAATCCTTAATAAGCAATGCGAGAGTATACCTTAGGTATAACAAGAAGAATACTATGGTCACTGGTAGAAACCGGAGCCATTAGTTTGAGAGAGAATCAGTTGGGATTGTTTGTGATCACTCTGTCCAGCACAGAACTACCTCTAGTAGGAGAATGAGAAAGATCAGACAGACCAAACGGAAACAGGGGAGAAATGCTTGCATGATTGAAATCACCAACAAGTAAGTGGAGATTTTCATCTAACAATGGAACTAGAAATGGAATATAGGAATCAAAGAAAGTAGAAATGTCGGTCCGAGTACACGAGGGAGATATATACACGTTGGTGATGATTGTACTTTTGTGACCAGAAAATTTAGGGTGACAACGAACAGATAAACAGTCATTGCATTTTTCAGAATGGTTATATATAACTTCTGACTTGCCACACCAGGAGACATTGATGTAAGTAGCCACACCGCCTCCGGTTTTTTCCTACTTCGCTGTCTATCCTGCCGGTAGAAATCAAACCCTTCTATTCGCACGAGCACGGCCTCAAAGTTTTGATTCAACCAGGTTTCTTTCACACAAGCAACACATGTATTGGAATTAATACGTGCGTTCAAAATGGAGTTCAAATCCGAAATCTTTGCGAATAGTGAGCGAACGTTGGCGCTGAACAATGGTGGCAGAGTCATCTGGGCAGGAGGTGTGCGAGTAAGTGCAGTTTGCCATCAGGCCCGTTTGATAAAAACAGGGAATGCTTTTGAAGAGATGCTTATGATTGTACGAAGAATTTTCGTTTGAACGAATGAAGGATTCCGTTTTCACACAATATTGGAAAATATTCAAATAATATTCCCACTAGTCTTGTTCCCATACTTCAAGTGCTTATTGTCG